ACGTAACAATCACGTGGCCTGTTTTCCCGCTCATTTCCTACAGTGCATTGTATGCGTCGATCTCTTTCAACATGGCTTCCTACGATGATATGGTGGCCAGAATCTCTGCTGCAGTGTGCAATGCACTTAGAAATTCTCAGCAACAGGTACGTCTCAAGGCAGATAGCTGGCGGTGTGTTATCTTCCGAAATGTTGAAATGTCTTTTCAGGGATTGATACCTGCTAGGCATACAGGCGAACTCGAAACAATGAGATAATTATTATCTGGAGACCATACCCATTATGTAGAGTATGAAGTGCTAAGTGATTTTGTTTCAACCACTTCATCTCATTTAACTAAAAGAGATTAGTTACGCTTATGGTAACTTAAATCCAAGTGATCATTAGCTGTATGAATTCAATGTCTCTTTTTGGTGGTTTTAACACTGTACCTGGGGCAAAAAAGGTAAAGATGCCAAATGTTTCAACATCATTTCAGTGGAATGCTCCTGAGGTACTTTCCTTGGCATCACAGGGAGCACTTTATATTATGACTCACCTGCCAGTCCCTAGTAATAAGAAGGAATCAGGAGTGATTGGACATATCTCCGTTGAGAGTGACGATGGAAATAGTGATATTAATGATTGTGAGGTAAGTACCGGTAGCAAGTGTATATGACTTCCTCATTGTTAAAATAATTGCTTTCGTTTTTGTATCTGTTTTTTTTTTCATACCCCGAATTAATTTACAAGTTGAGTGATCTAGAAGGGATCTGGGTGGTCCAACTTACTTCTCCAAGTACCCTGTAAGTACCCCAGTTTCTACTTTAAACTATCTAGTTGTGTTTTGCAATTTTCTGCTGCCCCCGAAAATCTGCCTGGTATTTTAACAATCAATTTCTGTAATATCTAGTACGGAAGTTACCGAAACATGCTAATGAGGCACCTTCACCAAAGGACGGATTGCAATATTTAATTTAATATATATTTTTTAATTTGTTCAAGTTGACTGTTCCCACATTTGATCCAAGCCATTCGTTTCCTCAGTCAAGTACTGAAACTCCACTAGTGACTCAATCTTCTTCTGTCCCAGTGGCACAGCCTTCTGACTCTTCTGCTTCTACACCGGTAGAGGATTTCAGGTATTTTTATAAAAGTTGTCAGTTAAGTTGCTTCATGCATGATTAGTTTTCTGCCA